GACCTGTTTGCCATTTGTTCTTCTCCCTGACCGAGGGAACACTCTGCACGGACGCACTGGCACACAGCTGGCCACGGGGCCTGCGCAAGTATGCGTTTCCCCCAGTGAGCCTTCCCGCACAGATGCTGTGCAAGGTCAGGGAGGACGAGGAGCAGGTCCTGCTTGTGGTGCCGTATTGGCCCACTTTGACCTGGTTCCCTGAACTAATGCTCCTCGCGATAGCCCCACCCTGGCAGATTCCTCTGAGGAAGGATCTACTGACTCCGAGATGGGGCACCCTGTGTGCAGCAAGGGCTGGAGCAAAGGCTGTCTCCCTCCACCCTTAAAGTTTATGTCGTTGCGGAAGTGGATTGGTCTCTCTAAGCGAGATCCCAATTCGTCGGTCACCGACGTGATGTCTCCGTTTCCTCCTTCAGGGAACGAGGGTTACATACGTAACTGAGACGTTATTTGACTTGCAAATCGAATCTGAATTATGAATCTGTCATAATGTGATGAAAGAGGCTGTTATTGAAGGGTGGAGCAGTTTAAACAATATGAAACCAAACAGCAAACCCTGATTTAATGATGTTATTCATTTCACATTCAAAGAGATGATCATGATCATAGATGCAATTTCACAAAATTTATATATATATGTATATTAATTGCATTTGGTTCGGTTAGAATTAAAAAATGTTTAATTTTAAGGGACAGGCAAAAGAGTTGAAAATGGGCTTAAAATAACTTATGAATGATTTGGTGCAAGAAACATTGACTCAATAAAGACAAAATGATGATTTGAAATGTATGATTTGAAAAAAAAACCATGATATTTACATTTAGACATTTAGCAGACGCTTTTATCCAAAGCGACTTACAAATGAGGACAATGGAAGCAATCATAATCAACTAAAGAGCAACGATATGCAAGTGCTATAACAAGTCTCAGTTAGTTTAATGCAGTACACATAGCAAGTTTTTTTTTTTAAATCATATAATAGATAAAAAGAAAAAAGATAGAATAGAAAAAGAATAGAGCAAGCTAGTGTTAGAGGCCTTTTTTGCTTTTGTTAATCAGAAGTCAGAAAGTCAGAATTATAATTGTATAATAAGTAAAAAGAAAACAGATAGAATGCAAAAAAATTAAAAACGCAAATCTCTTTTTTTTTTTTTGAAATAGAATAGAATAGAATAGAATTATAATGATATGGCTCATTAAAGACAATACTGTGCATTGCAATGTTCAATATTGACTGTTTTTTCTCTCTCTTATTTCAGCAGCAGGACATATTTATTTATTCAGATGGAGTTCTGTGAGGGAGGAACACTGACTGGTTGGATACAGGCAAGAAATGATATGGAAAAACATAGAACCACAGTGGAAATCCATAAAATATTTTATGAAATTATCACTGGAGTGGAATACATCCATGCAAACAAGCTCATCCACAGAGACTTGAAGGTATTTCATTTTTGTTGCTAGGAGGCAACTTAACTTGTGTTTAAACAGATAAGCATTTTACCCTTGTGTACTTTCCCTTTTAGCCTGATAACATACTGTTTGGTGCTGATGGCAAAGTGAAGATCGGAGACTTTGGGCTGGTGGCGGCTCAGACCGATCAAAACGGTGACCCTATAGAGAGGTCAAACAAAGGAACAACAACTTATATGAGTCCTGAACAGGTGACACATTTTTATTTTCTCTAAGAGAAATATTTACACCGTAAGACTTATAGAAATGTATTTTGTGTCCTTTTGTTTTGCACAATAAATAAATGAATTTTAAAAAATAATTTTTTTCCTTAGAAAAATAAGAAGAATTATGATGAAAAAACAGACATATTTCCCCTTGGACTCGTATGGTTTGAGATGATCTGGGACATATCTACTGGTAGCGAGAGAGAGAAGGTCAGTAGTATTTCATGACAATCATCCGTAGTGATAGTATGCACAGTTATTACCCATATCTGCAAAAAACAAACAAACATATTTTAAAGGAATAATTCACCCAAAAATGGAAATTCTCTGAAAATGATCTCACCCTTGGGCCATCTAAGATGTAGATGAGTTTGTTTCTTCATCAGATTTGGAGAAATGTAGCATTGCATCACTTGCTCTGTAGTGAATGGGTGCCGTCTGAATGAGAGCTGATAAAAACATCAATAATCCACAAGTAATCCACACCACTCCAGTCAATCAGTTAACATCTGGAGAAGACAAAAGCTGCATGTTTGTAAGAAACAAATGTTTTTTTTTTAAACAAATGTGATGTTTTTATCAGCTGTTTGGACTCTCATTCTGACGGCACCCATTCACTGCAGAGCATCCATTGGTGAGCAAGTGGTGCAATGCTACATTTTCAAATCTGTTCTTATGAATAAACAAAATAAATAATTTGATTTTGAATTTCTCATTAATTAATTAATTCATTCATTCATTCATTCATTCATTCATTCATTCCAGCTGTGGCCAGATCTAAGAAATCAAAGGTTTCCAGAAGGGTTTAGTGATTGGTATCGAACTGAGGTAAGGAACTTGATTTTATCTTCAGATAAATATCGATTGGACTGAGTTGAGCCTATAACTTTATTATGCTTTTCTTTCCTTTCTTTTTTTTTTTTTTTTTACAGTGTACATTCATCAAAAAGATGCTGTCATATTCACCAGAGCACAGGCCACATGCAAAAGACATAAAAGAAAACCTTCTGAAGTTTTTCTCTCTGGGTCAGAGAGCGCCAAGATCAATCTCAGACAAATATGTGAACTAACTTTCAGATTTCTACTAGATTTCTTCTAATGTATTTTAAATATTTCACAAGTTTCAAAAGTTCAGTCAAATTTTTTTCATCATAAAAAAACATTATTACAATGTTATGAGGTTACTTGCAGAAATCCGAGTAAGAACGTAATTTCACAACATTTCTATCATGTTGGCTGCATAAAATTAAGATGCATTTGCATCTTAGATGTAATTGCAACTAAAATACAATGTTTCTTGAAGTTACAGTTGTTTGGTTACAGTGTAAACAAACTACAATCAATATGCAATATTGTATAAAGTGAAAACATTTTGTGCTGGCTGAGAAGATTGCTCAAGCTGACTTTCTGCCATCAGGCATTTCTTGACAAATATACTCTGTATGTTGGGTGGAATAAAAAGAAAAAGAGAAAATGTGTTATAAATATCGACAGACATATTGGATAAAATATTAAACTCACATTTTGTAAGAAATTATGTTACTTTTCTTTCAGTATCACAATGACAAAACAACCATAGGGTTACATTTGAACAGTATTTCAATGCTTTAGTTTGAGAGGATGTTACCATTGTGCCTTGTAAAATGAAACACTGAATAAATATATATGAAATAAATACAGGTGTTTGTAAGTTACAATCGCATTATCTAAGTCTGTAAATCTGACTGCTAAAAAACTGTACAATATCAGTTGGACATTTAAAATGACAAATTATTGCTTTAGTCTGACTAAATTACTACATACAGCCATATAAAAATGCATATGCCTGATGTCTGAAGCTAAGCAAGGTTTGGCTTGGGTAGTACTTGGATGAATAACATTTTTAAAGTTCATGTAATTGCACTTAATTTTTGTTAGCCATAAAAAAATTAAATAAAAAAATAAAAAAATCCCACGTAATTTCTCAAAACTTGTTGCTATGACTTTGTTGATTTGAATAACTCTAGAGTGCAATTTTTTTTAATTCTAGAGTTGAATTCTTTGGCATTTGAACAAACCCACAGACCCAAATGATTCCTCAAATCATCTGGCTTGTTCAGGAGAGGTATTACTTTTCTAAGATAAAACGGGTAAAAAAAATCTCTTAAACTTACATTGAAGCACTCCAGCCATATCTAGAGATTAGAATATCATGGCTGTGTTGACTCGATCCTGTTAGCAACCACCCAGAACACCCTAGAAACCACAATGAACACCCTTCAGAACACCTAACCACATAGTAACACCCTGGCAACCACTCACAACACTGTAGCATCGTTGTGAGCAAGCACAGCTCTTTTTTTTTTTTTGAGAGAGAGAGAAAATTTGTTTATTTATTTACTTTATTGACTTAAATTACATCATTCTCCAGGAAGTTACATCATTTTGAGGGGAAAACAAGCAAGTATTAATCAGTAAGTATTAATAATAAGTCTGATGAATTCTGTGATATTGTGTTAAAAGATGGGATGTTTCACTTCAAAACAGTCCATCCTGATTGAAAATAATATCAAAATTAATGTTTCGTATTCTTATGTAATCAGTGAGCTAATGATTAACTTTTATCCCGTTAGACATAATGAAGTAGGCCTACTTGCTCAAACGATAACACAAGCATATTAATTTGCACATAACCTGTACACAAGCACAGGAATAATAATGTGCTCTGTTACAAAACCTTCAACAAATTTCATGTATGTTTTGTCATCATTGTAAATTATTTGTTTCACAATTATTTGATTTTCATGCATATTGAACTATCCTATATCGTCAAGACATTACCAGTACTAAAATTATATTACATATCAAATTGAAATATGTCACTATTGTTGTTGTGAACTTTTTAGAATAGCAGTTTTGGAAAAAATAAGTTGTGTGTTTAACATTGCTGCAAGAGGCTTTAAGGTTTTGTTTTATAACATGCATACTTCAAACGTTTTAGGTTGACAAATATGCTATTGAAGTATATTAACAACCCTGAAATCAATGTCAGAAAATGTCAACATGTCATAAAACATATATAAAAGCATTTGATAAAGAAAAAAAAAACGTAAAATCTAAACACTTGCACATTTTATTTATTTATTTAATTAATTAATTTTTGGTGCAAACTCGACACTTACAGTGCTTTTTTTTTTTTTTTTGTCCTTTCATGTAAAAGAGCAGCACGAACATTCTTCAGAATTTGTCCTTTCGCGCTCCACCGAAGAAAGAAAGTCATATGGATTAGGAACAACATGAGGGTGAGTAAACAATGAGAAATATCTCTTGTAACATCATTTGTCTGTTCAAATTAGTGTCCTGGAACTACTGTATAATATTTACTTATTGCAGATTTGAGTTTATATATGTAGCTTTCATTTACCAGAGTAACAAATGCCAACTGTGATTGCACTCGTCACTATGAGCCCTAAAGCTTTGTTGTACGTCTGAATGAATGGAGGCATTAGACACGAGGAGACGCAAAACAACACTCTTTTATAATGGATGAGCAGTTACAGTGTGCGTCTAAAGAAAAAGATATGAATGAGTATATTATAGAGGCAAGCACAACATTACTGCCATTGTTTACTGTACAAGGGAGCACATGCTTCTTAAAGGAATAGTTCACCCAAAAATTAAAACGTGTTCACTCTCAGGAGTTTTTCTTCATCAGATTTGGAGAAATGTAGCATTGCATCACTTGCTCACCAATAGATCCTCTGCAGTGAATGGGTGCCGTCAGAATGAGACTCATTGAGAAAATGTTATTATGGATTATGGATTCGTATTTTAGCCGGAAACAACATTTTGAAGTTAAAAACATCTTAATGCTGGATTTGTTTCAGCTTTTGTCTTCTCCAGATGTTAACTGATGGCCTGGAGTGGTGTGGATTACTTGTGGATTATTGTGATGTTTTTATCAGCTGTTTGGACTCTCATACTGACGGCACCCATTCACTGCAGAGCATCCATTGCTGAGACACTGATGCAATGATAAACAGTCTGTGTCAGTCTGCAATAGGTTTCATTCAATCTCTAGACAAGTGATCTCAATGTCTGTAGTATAGAGAATTTATTTTTTATTAATGTAGAAAACAAAGTCTTACAAAGTGCAAAAGCTACAAACTGTACAATCAAACACTAAAAATGCATTTATAAAAACAATGGACAACAAACCAAACCCCTTCATTCACCTCTCAACATTTAAAAATATATACTTTTTTTTTTTTTGTCTATAGTGATCATTCTGTTAATGCATTATATTGCAGTAGAAAAATGTCTCCAAAAATATAAATGTTCCGTGGGAGAGTGTCAATAATGTTTTCACAGTTCAGGCCAAGTGAATATGAAATGAATTATTTCCTTCATCTGTCTTTGTTAAACAGGTTTGTGTCCCGAATCTGAACAGAACTGGAATGAAGATAATGATTTTGTTTATGGAGCAGCAATACAAAAATAGCAACGAAAACTACGTTTCACACAGTAGAAAGTTAGCATACTTATCTATTATATTTAATATATTAATTCATATATATACTTCTGTATATAATTGACAGTGCGAACTCAGAAAAATAGCTTGTACAGAGTAATTCAGAGACGTTTTGTACGTCTGAAATGAGAACTACTGGCCTAAAAGTTTAAATAATTGAACCCTCATTTTCAGCAGCACAGATTCTGGAAATATTTTTCCCATTCATTTTCTCCATAGGGATTTCAATTTAGATATGTACAAGAAATTCTATTTAATTTCTTTAATGAGGCAATGCACTACTCTTCCCAGAGGCATTGCAAATAATTTGAATCAAAAACAACTACAATATTGAACTATTGGCTTAGAGTCATTGATTATAAGTATTAGGAGATGTAATACTTTTAATGAATCTAATGCTTTGTAATGAATGTATTTCAGTTTGTGTTTGTACTAGAAATTATGCTTCATTTATTTAATGAGGCAATCAACTACTATTCCCATGATGCATTGCAAATAATCAACTGTACAAAATAAAATTATTGACTTTTATTTTTTGATGATTTTTTTTTGAGTCATTGATTATAAGTGCTGAAATTTTAGGTTTATATTTAAATACAAATATTTAATACAAATACAAATATTTTAATCAAAAATATTTAAATATACAAGTACTACTATGTAGAATGTAGGGAGGTCGACTCGATTAATTAATTCGCAATGCATCATGGGAGTGAGCGAAACGGTTTCCATGGTAACAGTGACTTCTCTGATTGATCTCTGGGTAGTGCATTTGAAATCACATTTACACAAAGAAAACACATTATCACACAGAAAACTTTGCACATTAGTGATAAGAATCTATTTCTTTTTGGAGAAAATGATTGGTAGTTTTGCTTCCAGAGCCGTACTGTTGTATTATATACCGTTGTATTAAATACCGTAATAAATAGCGGTTAAGACATCTGTGGTATGTTATATAACCCATCAGTGATGGGGAATGTGCAAAATAATACCACTCCTCATTGGGAATGTTCTAGTAGGGATTCAACTCCTCTGGTGCTAGATGAGACTCTTCAGCTTCAACGTTTGCGGTGAAACTGTTGGTTCGACAACCCCAATCAGAGCTGTCCGGCGTAAGACTGCGAACGAAAGCAATAGGTCATTAATTAAACCTTCATGGTCAGATTAATGCATTAAATGCATGACGTTAAGTCTAACATCAATCTAATTTAGAGTAGTGCAACTTTGCATTGAAATTTAAAGCTGAAGTATGTAATTTCAGATGTTTTTGTACAGATTAATTGTAGACTATAATACCAAGAATATGCAATTGGAAAGTAAATATTGTAAGTTTTGAATGCTCCTCAAACAAACGATATGATGCATCATATTTGATATTCACATTTAAACATGGTTTTTCTAAAAAACTGATGTCTGGTGTTATGTACACTAAATAATCAAGTAAATCTAAGCTGCTTCAGTCCAGTAAGTGTTCATCTTGAAATATTATTAACAATATCGAAGTTATTCATGTTTGCTTGATAAAAATCAAGATTTGACCGCAAAAGACACATGAAGCTCGAGCTGAAGATGGACGTTTGTGCAATTATACTAAAAGAGCTTTTACTTGATAAAAAAGTATAAACAATCATTCAGACGATAGAAGGCATGTAGTAGATTATTATATATGGTGATTCATTTAAGACTAAGTCATACCTGGCTTGAATGTTTTGTGGGATGATACTCCACGCGAGATCATCATCGCTGTCGTAACGCCGCGGGTTGTCAAAGAAATAAGCTCTAGATGAGAACATGTGGCCGGGGATCACTGACACACTCTACAAGCCAAAGAGAGAGTCTTCAGCGTTATATTGTTTATATTATATATTATTGTATCTATGTACACTAACGTTCAAAAGTTTGGGGTCGGTAAGATTTTTTCGAGTTTTTAAAAGAAGTCTCTTGTGCTCATCAGGGCTGCATTTATTTTGTTAAAAGTATAGTAAAATTTTAAAATATTATTACAGTTCAAAACAACTGTTTACTATTTGAATATTTGTTAGAATGTAATTTATTTCTGTGATGCGCAGCTGTATTTTCAGCATCATTACTGCAGTCTTCAGTGTCACATGATCTTCAGAAATCATTTTAATATGCTGATTTGCTGCTCAAGAAACATTTCTGATTATTATCAATGTTGAAAACAGTTGCGCTCACACAATATTTTTGCGGAAACTGTGATACATTTAAATTTTCAGGATTCTTTGATGAATAGAAAGTTCAAAAGAACAGCATTTATTTGAAATAGAAATCTTTTGTAACATTATAAATGTCTTTACTGACACTTCTGATGCATCCTTGATGAATAAAAGTATTACTTTTTTATCGACCCCAAACTTTTGAATGGCAATTTAAATATTGTATGTTAAGAACTGGAAAGTCCATTTAAAACAGATAAATCTCATACCCGATCCTGAGCCGGCTTACGGACTCTGAAAAAGAAGACCACCAGTGAAGTAGGCAGCAGCTCCCAAACAAACAGGATCACCCCAAAAACCACATATCCAGCGTCGCCCAACATTGACTTCAGATCTGCCTGTAGCACAAAAAAATCAGCAAAATGGCCAAATTCATCAAGACACACTAACACTTTAGTATGAAAACAAACATGCTAAAAGGGTCATTACTCTGTCAAATCAACCAAATTACAAAAACTTCCCCAACTTAATTTTTTTGTCCATAATGTTTCTAAAGAAAGACAAACATAAATAGTAATGAAAGCCAAAATATTAAATATCATGGATGCATATATACTGAATAATCCACTGTTTTGTAGAGGGGGGTCAAAATGACAAAATTTGATGATTCAGAGCCAAATTACAGGAAGGTAAAAATGACTTCAGGAAGATGGCAGTATCATAACGTTATTATTACACAGAGATTGGTAGGTCTATTAGCAAAATCTGTTGATTTTAGCAATCTTTGTTGAATTATATGCCAATGGTGACCGTTCAAAAATGGGAAAAGGCACTTTTCGTGTTTTTTCCTCAAAGTTTGCATGCCTGTTACTCAAGAAGTATTAAAGATTTCTTAATATCCTTTTAGATACGGGTTCTTAAACTTTTCTTTTAGCATTTATAAGGCCTTATATGTGACCCTGTCTGTGAAATCCAGGCTGAAGTCTCAAAATCTAATTATGAGATAACAAGCATCAAAGTTTGATTTCAACCATTAATTTCACTATGATTTCAATCTTTGACATGGCCCTACTCAGTCAATATTAAAGATACAAAGGTTATATTTTCACAGAATGTTCTACATCTTTATAAAGGATGATTTTATGTAGAAAACAGTAAATCACAACAAAAAAAAAGACTTTAGCTGGGTTTTCACATGCATGCAGGGTCACATATGTTTCAAATCCAGAGATATGTTGATCTCAATGTGGCTCCAGGAGTAAATAGTTAAATTGTACACATTTTCCGTGGTCAAAAACCAAATTTGGGTCACTTTGCATACAGATGATTCCTTTTTTATTTTAAAGAGGAATGTCTGAAGAACAAATAATGTTGAAACCACAAATGTATCGTGTTCTCTGTCAAAACAATTGCATTGAACATACTTGGTCTGATACGTTGTACCAGTCGTAGTCGAATGAGTTGATGCTCTTGATTTTTGCCAGTGCCAGCACCACTAGGTTGTAACACGCACGGGACGAGTACAGCAGGATCACCGTCGCTCCGATTATAGTCACCTGACACACAGATGTTCCCTGAACAGAAAAGATGAGACGTGGCGTTCAGCTCGGAATCAATTCTGGTACGAAACACCATTCAATTCTTTTTACAGTGGATAAAATATACTGGGATTCACATTGACTTTATGATCTATTCCACTCCATGGGTGCTTAAACTGTTAACTAAAACTCAGATTAACATGAACTCATCTTGTTTTACTTTTACAATCATGAGAATGAGAGCGAATCATATGAATTGGATATAGTTTATAACTTGACGTTTGACAACTTTGCAACCCTGTATGTAATATGTGTGTCTGTTTTAATTGATTAATGGAATATGCATCAGTGTTATTTTAGTATCACTTACACTATTCTATTTTTTGTTACAATTTTGAATTGGATATAATTTTTATATTTTCTGTTTTCACTTTAATTTTAGTTAACATTTTGGTAATTTTGTGTGTGTGTGTGTGTGTGTGTGTGTTTTTTTTTTTTATATGTCTATATAGTATTTGTTTTTATTTATTCATTTTAATTTATTTAGTTTTAGTATTTCATCTCAAATTAAATGAAAATGAGCATTATTTTAGTATCATTGAGATACTATTATTGTTTTTTTATATTAATTCGTAAAAAGCGATGTCCGACTTTGGAAACGAAATATTCTCCTTAAATATGAAGAGGTCAAGCAACAGATTAATTAAAGAGTTAATCCAAATTTCACAAAAAGCTTATGGATGTAATTATAATATAAGTCAGACACTGAAGTGTGTTGCTGTTTTTGTTTCTTCTGAGGAAGATTCATTCACTTGTTTTGTACCCACACAGAGAAATTCTGGTGAGTTTTTTTTTTTATGTTCATGCAATCTCATTTTGTGACTTTTCCTTTTTTTTTTTTTTTTAAGATGTTTTCTTTGGATTGTTTGACTGCTCAAAAGAGAATATAGGAAAGTATAACTTAATGTGTGTTTCCTGCAAGCTAAATTTCACATACTTAAACACAAATCTGGCTCTAAATCTCTCTTTTCTTCATTCAAAGTTGATCTAGATGATTACATGGAAACTATCCGAAGTTCTGTTCATCCTAAAGCAGTGAGAACTGCATCTCTATTCATCCTATGTGTCCTCTTAAGGTGTAAATTGTTTTTTTTGTTGTTGTTTTTTTTTACCTGGCAACACATCCCTCAATGGGTTTACTACACACAAAAAAACATGGTTAACATAGTTAAACCATGGTAACCACAAATTAACCATGGTTTTACTACATTAACCATAGTTGAACCATGGTATTTGTAGTAAAACTGTGGTTATACAAAAAAACATAACTACACTTTTACTATAATAAAACCATGATTAATTTTTTAAGGGATTTGTATTTGTGTATATACTTCCTTTCTGTTTTCTTTGTTTTGTTTTTATAACTGTACTGCCTTAATGGTTTAATGTTTTGTACATTTTAATAAAAAAAAATTTGATTCGGAGTTTCAAAAAGCTCCGTTTCACCTATCACTTCCTTAAACTACTGACTCAGCTCGCTAGTGTTATGACATTAACTGAAATAAGAGAAAAAGTTTGATGTTTACAAATAAAATATCCATATTTACATTCCAAAGATAACATCCAACACAAATCTAGAACATATTACTGCTAACTAGAGAATCACTCCATTAATATGACGAGCTGCAGCTCAAAATACATGTCAGATGGAAACATTGTGCTTTATGATCGAGTTTGGAGCTTAATTGACTATATTTGAAATAGTTTGACACTACAGTTCAGTTGAAGTTTAGTAATTATGTTGTTTTTTATTATTATTTTTTTTTTAATAATTATTTCAGTTTTAGTTATTTTAGTAGGCCTAGATCAAGTTAAACGAAATGAAAATGGCAAATGTTGCAACCAGGTGAAATATAAGTAGTGTATATATATATATATATAATTTTTTTATTTCAGTTAAAGTTTATTTAATTTCAAGTAACGAAAATTATTTTTATTTATTTATTTTTCATTTGTGACCCTGGACCACAAAACCATTCATAAGGGTACATTTTGTGAAATTGAGATTTATACACCAAAAAATATATATAAATAAGCTTTCCATTGATGTATGGTTTGTTAGGATAGCACAATATTTGGCCGAGATACAACTATTTGAACATCTGGAATCTGAGGGTGCAAAAAAATCTAAATATTGAGAAAATCATCTTTAAAGTTGTTCAAATGAATGACTTAGCAATGCATATTACTAA